GTGCGCCCTCAATGATCGGGAAAAAAGCAGGCGTTGTGACAAAGTTCAGAGAGAAAGTGCAATCTGCAAATGGAGGATGTGATTTTTTGACTTTTCACTGTATTTTGCACCAGGAGGCTTTGTGTTGCAAGTCATTAAAGATGGATAACGTCATGAAGGTGGTCATCCAAACTGTTAATTTCATCCGATCCAGAAGCCTGAATCACCGTCAGTTTGACAGCCTTCTCAGAGAGAAAGACCACATCTATGGCCTGCCATACCACACTGAGGTAAGATGGTTAAGCCGAGGTGCTGTGCTGAGGCGTTTCTTTGATTTACGAGAAGAAATTGAACAGTTCATGGAAGAAAAGGGCAAACCAGTGTTAGAATTTCATTCCGCAGAATGGATGCCGGACCTTGCATTTATGGTGGATGTTACAGAGCACCTGAATAACTTGAACAAACAGCTGCAAGGGTGCAACAAAGTTGCCACGCAGTATTATGACAGCATACGTTCTTTCAAGTTGAAGCTGTCATTGTGGGAGACGCAACTCGCCGGTGGTGATGCAGCTCACTTCCCCTGTCTGAAAAATGTGTGCGCGACCCAACATGTGGCAGACATGAAGCGGTTCAAAGATAAAATAACTGGACTGTTACGGGAGTTTGAGCAACGCTTTCAGATTTATGTTTATATGTTTTTATGTTGATGTGCTATTGTTTTTAATTGATTTTATTTTATTTGTATATTTAACCTATTCTTGACTCTGTGGTTCTTGCACTTGTTTGGGGAACAGGATTTCATTATTTTTATCTACATTTCTGCCTGAGAAATGACACCCTGATATAGTTCTGTGATCTGTGAAACAGTTCTGCATTGTGTGTTTGTGTGTTCTTTTTCTTTTGAATTTTCAAATAAACTTGACGTGTTTTATGATTAATAGTGATGTTGTGCTTGTACTATTTTGGACACACTGTCCTCAGGCTCCAGCTTTATGTTGTATGTTGATCGTATTAAAACAAAGAAAACAATCTGAAGTTGTTGTTTTTAAGTTATATATACCATGATTTTTCCGGTCCGGCCCACTTGGGAATAGATTTTCCTCCATGTGGCCCCTGAGCTAAAATGAGTTTGACACCCCTGTTTTACAGGGTCAGCCATAGTAGTATGATAGGTGCAGTGTATTGTGTTGTTTTACAGGGTCAGCCATAGTAGTATGATAGGTCCAGTGTAATGTGGTGTTTTACAGGGTCAGCCATAGTAGTAAGATAGGTCCAGTGTAATGTGTTGTTCTACAGGGTCAGCCATAGTAGTATGATAGGTCCAGTGTAATGTGTTGTTTTACAGGGTCAGCCATAGTAGTATGATAAGTCCAGTGTAATGTGTTGTTTCACAGGGTCAGCCATAGTAGTATGATAGGTCCAGTGTAATGTGTTGTTTTACAGGGTCAGCCATAGTAGTATGATAGGTCCAGTGTAATGTGTTGTACAGCACTCCTGGAGCAAATTAGGATTAAGTGCCTTGCTCAAGGGCACAGACAGATTGTTCACCGTGTGGGCTCGGGTATTCAAACCAGCAACCTTTCAGTTACTGGCCCAACGCGCTAACCGCTAGGCTTCCTGCTGCCCTTCAGGAACCTTCCAGGAAGCGTCAGTCATCCAGTATGCCTACAACCTCAACTACCCTCTGAGGCTAATCGACCATTCCCCCGGCTCTGCAGTCTGGAGCGCCTTCTCTGTCAGCGCTGCAGCCGTCATCCTGGAGACCATCAAACAGGTGGGGACCCTGCCAGGAAATAACCCTTACTTGTTTTCCACATGTGTCAAAGCAGGTTGGGTGAGCTGGGAAGGGCTCAGTGAGTTTAGACAAAGGGCCATTTCCTGGGAGGGTACCAAGTAGTGTGGATACTGAATAGCTGACTGAATATAATATAATATGCCATTTAGCAGACGCGGAAGATGACAAATTGGCCTGCTTTACTGTAATACGTTCTGTTCAGCAACTTTGGGATTTTTATTGCATGTTTCATTGCTGATTGTATTTCCTGACAGTTTCTATCATGCGATTTCCAACGTATTTAATGGTCCTATTCTCTCCTTCCAGGCGGAGGACAGGAAGGATGCTCTGGTGGTGCGTCTCTATGAGGCACATGGTAGCAGTGTCACAGCGTCCCTCTCTACACGCCTCCCCATCACAGAGGCTTGGCAGTGAGTTCTAACTTCACTTAGGGTTCTGAAGGGGTCAGACAGTTGTACTGAGCTCTCTGCATCACATGGCAGCAGTGTCAGTGTGTCTCTCTACCCCGTCCCCCCCCGTCCCCGTCCCCGTCCCCGTCCCCGTCCCCGTCCCATACCGTCAGTGAGGCGTCTTCATTGTAATTTAGGCCTAGATTCTATATCTGTAGTGCTATATCACAGATTGTAATTTAGGCCTAGATTCTATATCTGTAGTGCTATATCACAGATTGTAATTTAGGCCTAGATTCTATATCTGTAGTGCTATATCACAGATTGTAATTTAGGCCTAGATTCTATATCTGTAGTGCTATATCACAGATTGTAATTTAGGCCTAGATTCTATATCTGTAGTGCTATATCACAGATTGTAATTTAGGCCTAGATTCTATATCTGTAGTGCTATATCACAGATTGTAATTTAGGCCTAGATTCTATATCTGTAGTGCTATATCACAGATTGTAATTTAGGCCTAGATTCTATATCTGTAGTGCTATGTCACAGATTGTAATTTAGGCCTAGATTCTATATCTGTAGTGCTATGTCACAGATTGTAATTTAGGCCTAGATTCTATATCTGTAGTGCTATATCACAGATTGTAATTTAGGCTTAGATTCTATATCTGTAGTGCTATATCACAGATTGTAATTTAGGCCTAGATTCTATATCTGTAGTGCTATATCACAGATTGTAATTTAGGCCTAGATTCTATCTGTAGTGCTATATCACAGATTGTAATTTAGGCCTAGATTCTATATCTGTAAGTGCTATATCACAGATTGTAATTTAGGCCTAGATTCTATATCTGTAGTGCTATATCACAGATTGTAATTTAGGCCTAGATTCTATATCTGTAGTGCTATATCACAGATTGTAATTTAGGCCTAGATTCTATATCTGTAGTGCTATATCACAGATTGTAATTAGGCCTAGATTCTATATCTGTAGTGCTATATCACAGATTGTAATTTAGGCCTAGATTCTATATCTGTAGTGCTATGTCACAGATTGTAATTAGGCCTAGATTCTATATCTGTAGTGCTATGTCACAGATTGTAATTTAGGCCTAGATTCTATATCTGTAGTGCTATATCACAGATTGTAATTTAGGCCTAGATTCTATATCTGTAGTGCTATATCACAGATTGTAATTTAGGCCTAGATTCTATATCTGTAGTGCTATATCACAGATTGTAATTTAGGCCTAGATTCTATATCTGTAGTGCTATATCACAGATTGTAATTTAGGCCTAGATTCTATATCTGTAGTGCTATATCACAGATTGTAATTTAGGCCTAGATTCTATATCTGTAGTGCTATATCACAGATTGTAATTTAGGCCTAGATTCTATATCTGTAGTGCTATATCACAGATTGTAATTTAGGCCTAGATTCTATATCTGTAGTGCTATATCACAGATTGTAATTTAGGCCTAGATTCTATATCTGTAGTGCTATATCACAGATTGTAATTTAGGCCTAGATTCTATATCTGTAGTGCTATATCACAGATTGTAATTTAGGCCTAGATTCTATATCTGTAGTGCTATATCACAGATTGTAATTTAGGCCTAGATTCTATATCTGTAGTGCTATATCACAGATTGTAATTTAGGCCTAGATTCTATATCTGTAGTGCTATATCACAGATTGTAATTTAGGCCTAGATTCTATATCTGTAGTGCCTATCCAGATTGTATTTAGGCCTAGATTTATCTGTAGTGCTATATCACAGATTGTAATTTAGGCCTAGATTCTATATCTGTAGTGCTATATCACAGATTGTAATTTAGGCCTAGATTCTATATCTGTAGTGCTATATCACAGATTGTAATTTAGGCCTAGATTCTATATCTGTAGTGCTATATCACAGATTGTAATTTAGGCCTAGATTCTATATCTGTAGTGCTATATCACAGATTAATTTAGGCCTAGATTCTATATCTGTAGTGCTATATCACAGATTGTAATTTAGGCCTAGATTCTATATCTGTAGTGCTATATCACAGATTGTAATTTAGGCCTAGATTCTATATCTGTAGTGCTATATCACAGATTGTAATTTAGGCCTAGATTCTATATCTGTAGTGCTATATCACAGATTGTAATTTAGGCCTAGATTCTATATCTGTAGTGCTATATCACAGATTGTAATTTAGGTCTAGATTCTATATCTGTAGTGCTATATCACAGATTGTAATTTAGGCCTAGATTCTATATCTGTAGTGCTATATCACAGATTGTAATTTAGGCCTAGATTCTATATCTGTAGTGCTATATCACAGATTGTAATTTAGGCCTAGATTCTATATCTGTAGTGCTATATCACAGATTGTAATGTAGGCCTAGATTCTATATCTGTAGTGCTATATCACAGATTGTAATGTAGGCCTAGATTCTATATCTGTAGTGCTATATCACAGATTGTAATTTAGGTCTAGATTCTATATCTGTAGTGCTATATCACAGATTGTAATTTAGGCCTAGATTCTATATCTGTAGTGCTATATCACAGATTGTAATTTAGGCCTAGATTCTATATCTGTAGTGCTATATCACAGATTGTAATTTAGGCCTAGATTCTATGTCTGTAGTGCTATATCACAGATTGTAATTTAGGCCTAGATTCTATATCTGTAGTGCTATATCACAGATTGTAATTTAGGCCTAGATTCTATATCTGTAGTGCTATATCACAGATTGTAATTTAGGCCTAGATTCTATATCTGTAGTGCTATATCACAGATGATATCTGTATCACAGATTGTAATTTGAAGTAGCGGTCTTTACACCCTGTTGCGGTTTTCAACCACTGAACCCTCTTCTCTTCTCATTCGTCCTCTCCTCAGCTGTGATCTACTGGAGCGAGTGGATCCCTCTCGCCCTGCACCAATCACAGCCTCCGGAATCTCTATCAACTTCAGTCCCTTCCAGATTGTGTCCCTTCTACTTTACCTAAAGTAAAATTGTTTTTTGTTCTGGTCCAAAGTAGTGCAGTAAATAGGGTATAGGGTGCATTTAGTATGCACACTTTGTCCCTGTGTGTCTTTAGTGGGACCAGGATGTTGTCATCATTACAGTCTCTCGTAACTGCATTTGGACCCGCTTTAAATGACGTTGCGCTTCATAAAGCCTTCATAAGCACTGCATAAATGTGTTACAAAGCATCTATAACTGTATGTCATGCTTTATAAAGGGTTTATAAATGTGGCATAACTGACAATCACCCAATGTCAAATGTAACGTCACCCACCGTCGAATATGATATAAATGTGCTTTATAAAGGGTGACATGTTGTGGTGAAGTGGTCATATGTTGGTCATATTACACCTCATCTCGTTCCCATACAGGGTGACATGTTGGTCATATTACACCTCATCTCGTTCCCATATAGGGTGACATGTTGGTCATATTACACCTCATCTCGTTCCCATATAGGGTGACATGTTGGTCATATTACACCTCATCTCGTTCCCATATAGGGTGACATGTTGGTCATATTACACCTCATCTCGTTCCCATATAGGGTGACATGTTGGTCATATTACACCTCATCTCGTTCCCATATAGGGTGACATGTTGGTCATATTACACCTCATCTCGTTCCCATATAGGGTGACATGTTGGTCATATTACACCTCATCTCGTTCCCATATAGGGTGACATGTTGTGGTGAAGTGGTCATGCACTCCTATAGAACTCTATGGCCACTCCCACTAAGGCCATCTCTGATTGGTTGATCTCCCAGGGTTATATGTGCTGTGTGTGCAATAGCCTGGGGACGACGTTACACCAAGAAACACTCACCTTGATGAAAGCCCCCAACCTAAAGAAATTGAAAGTGTCTTTCTTCTGGATCCAAGTTATATGTTCCTCAGTACACAAACGAGCCATACCGAGCGGTGCTGGGCCCAGTCAGGTCTTTAACACAACAATATAACGAGCCATACCGAGCGGTGCTGGGCCCAGTCAGGTCTTTAACACAACATATAACGAGCCATACCGAGCGGTGCTGGGCCCAGTCAGGTCTTTAACACAAACAATATAACGAGCCATACCGAGCTGGTGCTGGGCCCAGTCAGGTCTTTAACACAACAATATAACGAGCCATACCGAGCGGTGCTGGGCCCAGTCAGGTCTTTAACACAACAATATAACGAGCCATACCGAGCGGTGCTGGGCCCAGTCAGGTCTTTAACACAACAATATAACGAGCCATACCGAGCGGTGCTGGGCCCAGTCAGGTCTTTAACACAACAATATAACGAGCCATACCGAGCGGTGCTGGGCCCAGTCAGGTCTTTAACACAACAATATAACGAGCCATACCGAGCGGTGCTGGGCCCAGTCAGGTCTTTAACACAACAATATAACGAGCCATACCGAGCGGTGCTGGGCCCAGTCAGGTCTTTAACACAACAATATAACGAGCCATACCGAGCGGTGCTGGGCCCAGTCAGGTCTTTAACACAACAATATAACGAGCCATACCGAGCGGTGCTGGGCCCAGTCAGGTCTTTAACACAACAATATAACGAGCCATACCGAGCGGTGCTGGGCCCAGTCAGGTCTTTAACACAACAATATAACGAGCCATACCGAGCGGGTGCTGGGCCCAGTCAGGTCTTTAACACAACAATATAACGAGCCATACCGAGCGGTGCTGGGGCCCAGTCAGGTCTTAACACAACAATATAACGAGCCATACCGACGGTGCTGGGCCCAGTCAGGTCGTTAACACAACAATATAACGAGCCCATACCGAGCGGTGCTGGGGCCCAGTCAGGTCTTTAACACAACAATATAACGAGCCATACCGAGCGGTGCTGGGCCCAGTCAGGTCTTTAACACAACCAATATAACGAGCCATACCGAGCGGTGCTGGGCCCAGTCAGGTCTTTAACACAACAATATAACGAGCCATACCGAGCGGTGCTGGGCCCAGTCAGGTCTTTAACACAACAATATAACGAGCCATAACGAGCGGTGCTGGGCCCAGTCAGGTCTTTAACCACAACAATATAACGAGCCATACCGAGCGGTGCTGGGCCCAGTCAGGTCTTTAACACAACAATATAACGAGCCATACCGAGCGGTGCTGGGCCCAGTCAGGTCTTTAACACAACAATATAACGAGCCATACCGAGCGGTGCTGGGCCCAGTCAGGTCTTTAACACAACAATATAACGAGCCATACCGAGCGGGTGCTGGGCCCAGTCAGGTCTTTAACACAACAATATAACGAGCCATACCGAGCGGTGCTGGGCCCAGTCAGGTCTTTAACACAACAATATAACGAGCCATACCGAGCGGTGCTGGGCCCAGTCAGGTCTTTAACACAACAATATAACGAGCCATACCGAGCGGTGCTGGGCCCAGTCAGGTCTTTAACACAACAATATAACGAGCCATACCGAGCGGTGCTGGGCCCAGTCAGGTCTTTAACACAACAATATAACGAGCCATACCGAGCGGTGCTGGGCCCAGTCAGGTCTTTAACACAACAATATAACGAGCCATACCGAGCGGTGCTGGGCCCAGTCACGTCTTTAACACAACAATATAACGAGCCATACCGAGCGGTGCTGGGCCCAGTCAGGTCTTTAACACAACAATATAACGAGCCATACCGAGCGGTGCTGGGCCCAGTCAGGTCTTTAACACAACAATATAACGAGCCATACCGAGCGGTGCTGGGCCCAGTCAGGTCTTTAACACAACAATATAACGAGCCATACCGAGCGGTGCTGGGCCCAGTCAGGTCTTTAACACAACAATATAACGAGCCATACCGAGCGGTGCTGGGCCCAGTCAGGTCTTTAACACAACAATATAACGAGCCATACCGAGCGGTGCTGGGCCCAGTCAGGTCTTGGAGCTGGAGGACAAATGGTTCTTGCCTCTCTGCCTGCTGGAGGTACTGCATGTTGGTTCCAACCTTAAAGTCACAACTAAGAAGGTTAGCAGGTCTGTGAGGAAATGCCTTGGTCACATCTGGATAAAGGCATTTCTGTGCTTCACCAGAAACTCCATTCAATTCGTATTATATTCGTCTTTCATTTACAAATCTCATGACGTGACTGTGAGACGTGGCTGTATCTAGGGGGATTTGAATTTAGCTGAGTCGGCTAGCTAGCAATTGCTGTGAAATCACAGGAAGTATTTGAAATAACGATTGAGGTAGCTACAGTATGTAATCTAACAACACTTAACTACAAACTAATTTAAATTACAATAAAGGTTGACTTGTCTTTCGCTGTCCAGTGGCAGCACAAGTGGACATTTTGATTTGCGAGCCTGATCACATGATCAGTGGCTTCTCAGCAACACTAAAAAAGTACTTCCGGGTCACGGAATTTCAAAATAAAAGTCCCCCACGTAATAATGGAAAAGTGTCAATATCCATTCATGATATGAAAAATAAGTCTAAACATTAACAAAGATTCATATTTCGGTGACATTTGCATTAAATTGGGGGTTTAAAACATGTTACAAGTTCAAGTAAATGCAAATCACTGAATATGGAATACATATCCGTTGAAAGAACAGAAGTAGGCAGAAAATTACAACCGATTTTAAAAAGGCCCTAGCGCTTTAGTGTCATCCTGTAGCACAGCATTCTGGGGGAGTTGAGGTCAGGTCCAATGTTGACTATGCACTAAAGACTGAGAGGTTGGGCCATCATAGAAATGTTTTAGCAGACGCTTTTCTCCAAAGCGACTTAGTCATGCATGAATACATTTTTACGCATGGGGTGGTCCGGGAATCGAACCCCAATATCCTGGCGTTGCAATGCTGCACCAAGATGCATGACAGGGTTATAAATGCTTTGTGAAGCCTCAATTTAATATGATTTATAAGGTCTTTATTAAGCGGTGCTTATGCCACCCTTTATAAAGCACAGGGTTATGTCATATTTGACATTGGTGATTGTCAGTTATGCCACATTTATGAACCCTTTATAAAGCATGACATACGGTAACATGATTTGTAACATATTTATGTAGTGTTTATAAAGGCTTTATAAGCTGCATGTCATTTAAAGCGGGACCCCCTTGCATTTTTGTTTTTCTTATTTCAAATTGAGCTTTTGGATGCTGTTGAAATAAGTAAATAAAGCATTTATATCACTTTAAAACCTTGGCTCTCAATATTCCTTTGCATCACACAGCACTCAAAGCAAGCAGACCAAAATGATATCAAACGTTGTTTATTACATGGTACAAAGGGGATTTCTCTTGCATGGATCATATATCATAGACAGTTTGTTTGAAAAAGTATCTTATACAGTATTAAAAATGGCCCCCGTTCTGTAGTAGTTCTGCGCCTCCAGCTTTCTGGGTTGAAAGCTAAAAAAAATAGTAATTTCTGTTTCCTGCATGAAAATGGACAATATTCTTCTACTGTCTGGCACTGTTTCTGGTCCCTCTCCCACTCGGCGTCTGTGGGGCTTGAACACGGAGGATTCATAATCATTATAAATCACATGATGCAGGCAAACTTAAGGACAAACTTTCAAAAAGTTTTGCATTACGTGCAGCGTCTCACCTGCAGCACTGGTCTCTGTCCTGGTGGTCTTCCTGCGTGGTCCAGCAGCAGCTGTTCTCTTCTTCTGCTGAGGCGTGTTTACATTCACTTCCTGGGCAGACTTCCTCCTTCCTGCCCGCCTCTGAGGGACTTCCTTTTCTTTCGTCACCTTTTTCTGCACCGTTTCCTTTTTGACGGTTTCTTTTTTGCCGTCTTTTGGCTTCACTGCGCTCTCATCGCGGGCCTTCTTTACCTGATGAGGGACGAGATGGGAGGACAGTCACACTACCCCGGGAAACAAGGAACTTTATACCCCCAACTCACCTTTTTCTTTCCTGTATAATCATGGTCATCCTCTTTCTTCACGGTCATCTTTGCTTTGGGAGATTTGGAATCTAGAGGATGAGATCAAGCCAGTGGATTACTGATGCATTCTATACACTCAGTCAGTTTCTTAGGAAAGGCATGGCCATGTTAACCACTAAACAGAGTAAGAGGCTGTTGCATTGTGGAAGGGTTCTCTTCTGTTTTAGGCTCTGCTAGTGCCTCACCTTTAGGAGCCATGGGACCTGGGTCTCCCTGAAACCAGACAAAACATTGACATTACATGAGCTGTCTAAATGCCTGAGGTGTGTGTGTGTGTGTGTGTGTGTGGCTCGGTGCTCACCTTGAACCACACAGTCCTGCCGTTGTGATCTCGTATAGATCTCATCCCGTCCACATAGTAACACTGGAGCCACGACTTAAAGGCAGAGTAGTCCTTATTCTCTGGGTCATAACCTTTACCACCTAATAACACAATACAGCCTTATTCTCTGGGTCATAACCTTTACCACCTAATAACACAATACAGCCTTATTCTCTGGGTCATAACCTTTACCACCTAATAACACAATACAGCCTTATTCTCTGGGTCATAACCTTTACCGCCTAATAACACAATACAGCCTTATTCTCTGGGTCATAACCTTTACCGCCTAATAACACAATACAGCCTTATTCTCTGGGTCATAACCTTTACCACCTAATAACACAATACAGCCTTATTCTCTGGGTCATAACCTTTACCACCTAATAACACAATACAGCCTTATTCTCTGGGTCATAACCTTTACCACCTAATAACACAATACAGCCTTATTCTCTGGTTCATAACAGAAACAGTCATCCAGGGAAGGAATCATAGTGATAGAACAGTAGGCTAAATGGAAGAGGTATATTCCAGAGGCGGCCTTACGCACATCCTTTAAAACATAGGTGCTGAGCTAATAAAGAATCCAAGTAATGAAGAAGGTCCTCACACTGTTAAACTACCAATTCACCACTTTATTGGCAACGTTTCCTTCCGAAACGGATCTTTGTCAGGTCAAACAAACACACTGAGTGCTCACATTCCTACTTGGTCCTTTTGTAAATATATATCTAATTGTCTGTAGCTACTACATGTGCCCATCTCATTGATATCAAATTATTAGAGATACACATTGTTTACGGACCCACCATGTGTCATGTCCGTAATGGCCCTGTGAGGTGAAATGTGTATATTTTGGGATGTGAGCACTCGGTTTGTTTGACCTAACGAAGATCCGTTTGGGAGCGAAACGTTGTCAATAAAGTGGTGAATTGGGAGCTTTGACAGAGTGAGGACCTTCTGGTTCTTTACGAGTATTGTAATCTTCACCACCTAATAACATTAAACAGTGAGGAAGCTTCACCACCTAATAACATTAAACAGTGAGGAAGCTTTACCACCTAATAACATTAAACAGTGAGGAAGCTTTACCACCTAATAACATTAAACAGTGAGGAAGCTTTACCACCTAATAACATTAAACAGTGAGGAAGCTTCACCACCTAATAACATTAAACAGTGAGGAAGCTTCACCACCTAATAACATTAAACAGTGAGGAAGCTTCACCACCTAATAACATTAAACAGTGAGGAAGCTTCACCACCTAATAACATTAAACAGTGAGGAAGCTTCACCACCTAATAACATTAAACAGTGAGGAAGCTTCACCACCTAATAACATTAAACAGTGAGGAAGCTTCACCACCTAATAACATTAAACAGTGAGGAAGCTTCACCACCTAATAAAATTAAACAGTGAGGAAGCTTTACCACCTAATAACATTAAACAGTGAGGAAGCTTCACCACCTAATAACATTAAACAGTGAGGAAGCTTCACCACCTAATAACATTAAACAGTGAGGAAGCTTCACCACCTAATAACATTAAACAGTGAGGAAGCTTCACCACCTAATAACATTAAACAGTGAGGAAGCTTTACCACCTAATAACATTAAACAGTGAGGAAGCTTTACCACCTAATAACATTAAACAGTGAGGAAGCTTCACCACCTAATAACATTAAACAGTGAGGAAGCTTTACCACCTAATAACATTAAACAGTGAGGAAGCTTTACCACCTAATAACATTAAACAGTGAGGAAGCTTCACCACCTAATAACATTAAACAGTGAGGAAGCTTCACCACCTAATAACATTAAACAGTGAGGAAGCTTCACCACCTAATAACATTAAACAGTGAGGAAGCTTCACCACCTAATAACATTAAACAGTGAGGAAGCTTCACCACCTAATAACATTAAACAGTGAGGAAGCTTCACCACCTAATAACATTAAACAGTGAGGAAGCTTCACCACCTAATAACATTAAACAGTGAGGAAGCATTACCACCTAATAACATTAAACAGTGAGGAAGCGTTACCACCTAATAACATTAAACAGTGAGGAAGCTTTACCACCTAATAACATTAAACAGTGAGGAAGCTTCACCACCTAATAACATTAAACAGTGAGGAAGCTTTACCACCTAATAACATTAAACAGTGAGGAAGCTTCACCACCTAATAACATTAAACAGTGAGGAAGCTTCACCACCTAATAACATTAAACAGTGAGGAAGCTTCACCACCTAATAACATTAAACAGTGAGGAAGCTTCACCACCTAATAACATTAAACAGTGAGGAAGCTTCACCACCTAATAACATTAAACAGTGAGGAAGCTTCACCACCTAATAACATTAAACAGTGAGGAAGCGTTACCACCTAATAACATTAAACAGTGAGGAAGCTTCACCACCTAATAACATTAAACAGTGAGGAAGCTTTACCACCTAATAACATTAAACAGTGAGGAAGCTTCACCACCTAATAACATTAAACAGTGAGGAAGCTTCACCACCTAATAACATTAAACAGTGAGGAAGCTTCACCACCTAATAACATTAAACACATTAAGTGGGGGTCAGTCCCTCCCGCCCCCCCCCCCCCCCCCCAATAGACAATAGGGTTCATAGAGTGGAAGGAAGCTGGAGCAGAAACAGGAAGTAACAAACCTGAGTCAACACTAGGACTTCTACATTACCAATCTCTGTCCTTTGTCCAAGAGCTGTTGATTCGTAACGTTACTGGGTTGGTGGTCACGTAAAATGACTACTGTTAGTGTCAGGAAATGGAGACTGGGTTTACCAAGCCAGTTAGGGTACTTTTTATGAGGGATTATTCCAGTTCAGTTAACACCGCCAGTTGCACCAAACGTCACAACAGCAAATGGATATAGTAGAAAACAGCAGAGCCGTAATACAGTGGAGCGATACTGTACCCAACCTGATAGTCAAGATAAATGGAAAACTGAGTGATATATTATTATTGTACCTAACTTGATGACCTCCAGAGGTACTGTGTGACAGAGACTGAGCAGATCAGGAGTCTCACTCTCAACCTTCACCACCTTCACAGCAGCTCTGTCTGAGACCTGGTCAACACAGGAAACAGTAGTTAGTTGAATATGAATAACAGAAAGACTACTGCGGAGTAGCATGCTATCAGCTATACTGTATAGTAGCATGCTATCATCTATACTGTATAGTAGCATGCTATCAGCTATACTGTATAGTAGCATGCTATCAGCTATACTGTATAGTAGCATGCTATCAGCTATACTGTATAGTAGCATGCTATCAGCTATACTGTATAGTAGGCATGCTATCAGCTATACTGTATAGTAGCATGCTATCATCTATACTGTATAGTAGCATGCTATCAGCTATACTGTATAGTAGCATGCTATCATCTATACTGTATAGTAGCATGCTATCAGCTATACTGTAACGTAGCATGCTATCAGCTATACTGTATAGTAGCATGCTATCAGCTATACTGTATAGTAGCATGCTATCAGCTATACTGTATAGTAGCATGCTATCAGCTATACTGTATAGTAGCATGCTATCAGCTATACTGTATAGTAGCATGCTATCAGCTATACTGTATAGTAGCATGCTATCATCTATACTGTATAGTAGCATGCTATCAGCTATACTGTATAGTAGCATGCTATCAGCTATACTGTATAGTAGCATGCTATCATCTATACTGTTAGTAGCATGCTATCAGCTATACTGTAACGTAGCATGCTAATCAGCTATACTGTATAGTAGCATGCTATCAGCTATACTGTATAGTAGCATGCTATCAGCTATACTGTATAGTAGCATGCTATCAGCTATACTGTATAGTAGTATGCTATCAGCTATACTGTATAGTAGCATGCTATCAGCTATACTGTATAGTAGCATGCTATCAGCTATACTGTATAGTAGCATGCTATCAGCTATACTGTGTAGTAGTCCTGTTGGAAGGTGAACCTTCGCCCCAGTCTGAGGTCCTGGGCGCTCTGGAGCAGGCTTTCATCAAGGATCTCTCTGTACTTTGCTCCGTTCATCTTGCCCTCGATCCTGACTAGATTTTATTTTTTAATTTTTTGTATTTCACCTTTATTTAACCAGGTAAGCCAGTTGAGAACAAGTTCTCATTTACAACTGCGACCTGGCCAAGATAAAGCAAAGCCAGTGCGATAAAACAACAACACAGAGTTACATATGGGGTAAAAAAAAATATATATCAAAAATACAACAGAAAATATATATACAGTGTGTGCAAATGTAGCAAGTTATGGAGGTAAGGCAATAAATAGGCTGTAGTGCAAAATAATTACAATTAGTATTAACACTGGAATGCTAGATGTGCAAGAGATGATGTGCAAATAGAGATACTGGGGTGCAAAAGAGCAAAATAAATAACAATATAGGGATGAGGTAGTTGGGTGGGCTAATTTCAGATGGGCTGTGTACAGGTGCAGTGATCGGTAAGGTGCTCTGACAACTGATGCTTAAAGTTATTGAGGGAGATAAGAGTCTCCAGCTTCAGAGATTTTTTCAATTCGTTCCAGTCATTGGCAGCAGAGAACTGGAAGGAATGGCGGCCAAAGGAGGTGTTGGCTTTGGGAATGACCAGTGAGATATACCTGCTGGAGCGCAGACTACGGGTGGGTGCTGCTATGGTGACCAATGAGCTAAGATAAGGCGGGGGATTTGCCTAGCAGTGATTTATAGATGGCCTGGAGCCAGTGGGTTTGACGACGAACATGTAGTGAGGACCAGCCAACAAGAGCGTACAGGTCACAGTGGTGGGTAGTGTATGGGGCTTTGGAGACAAAACGGATGGCACTGTGATAGACTACATCCAATTTGCTGAGTAGAGTGTTGGAGGCTATTTTGTAAATGACATCGCCGAAGTCAAGGATCGGTAGGATAGTCAGTTTTACGAGGGCATGTTTGGCAGCATGAGTGAAGGAGGCTTTGTTGCGAAATAGGAAGCCGATTCTAGATTTAACTTTGGATTGGAGATGCTTAATGTGAGTCTGGAAGGAGAGTTTACAGTCTAACCAGACACCTAGGTATTTGTAGTTGTCCACATACTCTAGGTCAGACCCGTCGAGAGTGGTGATTCTAGTCAGGTGGGCGGGTGCAAGCAGCGTTCGATTGAAAAGCATGCATTTAGTTTTACTAGTGTTTAAGAGCAGTTGGAGGCTACTGAAGGAGTGTTGTATGGCATTGAAGCTCGTTTGGAGATTCCCAGTCCATGCAGCTGAAAAACATCCCTACAGCACGATTCTGCCACCGTAGGGATGGTGCCAGGTTTCCTCCAGACGTGATGCTTGGCATTCAGGCCAAAGAGTTCATCAGACCAGAGAATCTTGTTTCTAATGGTCTGAGATTCTTTAAGTGCCTTTGGCAAACTCCAAGTGGGCTGTCATGAGCCTTTTACTGAGGAGTGGCTTCCGTCTGGCCACTCTACCATAAAGGCCTGATTGGTGGAGTGCTGCAGTGATGGTTGTTCTTCTGGAAGGTTCTCCCATCTCCACAGAGGAACTCTGGAGCTCTGTCAGAGTGACCATCGGGTTCTTGGTCACCTCCCTGACCAAGGCCCTTCTCCCCCGATTGCTCAGTTTGGCCCGGCAGCCAGCTCTAGGAAGGGTCTTGGTGGATCCAAACTTCTTCCATTTAAGAATGATGGAAGCCACTGTGTTCTTGGGGACCTTCAATGCTGCAGATTTTTTTTTGGCACCCTTCCCCAGATCTGTGCCTCGACACAATCCTGTCTCGGAGTTGTAGTTCTAGAAACATCTCAATGATGATCAATGGAAACAGGATGAACCTGAGCTCAATTTCGAGTCTAATAGCAAAGGGTCTGCATACTTATGTAAATGAGGTATTCCTGTTTTGAAATTTTAATATATTTGAAAAAACTTAAAAACTTTTTTCGCTTTGTCATTATGGGGTATTGTGTGTAGATTGAGGATTTTTTTTGTATTAATCCATTTTAGAATAAGGCTGTAATGTAACAAAATGTGGAACCTCTTTAAGGAATACCTGGGATAGGATAAAGTAATCCTTCTACCCCCCCCCCCCCCCCTTACTCCAACACCCCCCCCCCCCCCCCCCCCATAAAAAAAAGAAAAAGAAAAAAAAATGCACCTAATTGTAAGTCGCTCTGGATAAGAGCGTCTGCTAAATGACGTAAATGTAAATGTAATACTTTCCAAAGGCACACATATATTATATATACCGTCTGTGTGTGTGTATATATATATATATATATATAACTTTTTCGATGTAATGCTGAAACGTTGGTGGTTTACCCAATAAATTACTTGGGAGTTATTATATATATATATATACATACACATACACACACACATACATACACACACAGTACCATTCAAAAGTTTGGACACACCTACTAATTCCAGGGTTATTCATTATTTTCACTATTTTCTACATTGTAGAATAATAGTGAAGACATCAAAACTATGAAATCACACACATGGAATCATGTAGTAACCAAAAAAGTGTTAAACAAATCAAAATATATTTACATTTGAGATTCTTCTAAGTAGCCACCCTTTGCCTTGATGACAGCTTTGCACATTCTTGGCATTCTCTCAACCAGCTTCATGAGGTAAACACCTGGAATGTATTTCAATTAACAGGTGTGCCTTCTTAAAAGTTAATTTGTGGAATTTCTTTCCTTAATGTGTTTGAGCCAATCAGTTGTGTTGTGACAAGGTAGGGGAGGTATACAGAAGATAGCCCTATTTGGTAAAAGACCAAGTCCATATTATGGCAAGAACAGCTCAAATAAGCAAAGAGAAACGACAGTCCATCATTACTTTAAGACATGAAGGTCAGTCAATCCGGAAAAATTCAAAAACTTTTAACGTTTCTTCAAGTGCAGTCGCAAAAACCATCAAGCGCTATGATGAAACTGGCTCTCATGAGGACCGCCACAGGAAAGGAAAACCCAGAGTTACCTCTGCTGCAGAGGATAAGTTCATTAGAGTTACCAGCCTCAGAAATTGTAGCCCAAATAAATGCTTCACAGAGTTCAAGTAACAGACACATCTCAACATCAACTGTTCAGAGGGGACTGTGTGAATCAGGCCTTCATGGTCGAATTGCTGCAAAGAAACCACTACTAAAGGACACCAATAAGAAGAAGAGACTTGCTTGGGCCAAGAAACATGAGCAATGGACATTAGACCGGTGGAAATTTGACCGTTGGTCTGGAGTCCAAATTGGAGATTTTTGGTTCCAACCACCGTGTCTTTGTGAGACGCGGTGTGGGTGAACGGATGATCTCCACATGTGTATTTCCCACCGTAAAGCATGGAGGAGGAGGTGTTATGGTGTGGGGGTGCTTTGCTGGTGACACTGTGTGTGATTTATTTAGAATTCAAGGCACACTTAACCAGCATGGCTACCACAGCATTCTGCAGCGATACGCCATCCCATCTGGTTTGGGCTTAGTGGGACTATCATTTGTTTTTCAACAGGACAATGACCCAACACACCTCCAGGCTGTGTAAGGGCTATTTGACCAAGGAGAGTGATGGAGTGCTGCATCAGATGACCTGGCCTCCACAATCCCCCGACCTCAACCCAATTGAGATGGTTTTGGATGAGTCGGACGGCAGAGTGAAGGAAAAGCAGCCAACAAGTGCTCAGCATACAGTTGAAGTCAGAAGTTTACATACACTTAGGTTGGAGTCATTAAAACTTGTTTTTCAACCACTCCACAAATTTTGTGTTAACAAACTATAGTTTTGGCAAGTCGGTTAGGACATCTACTTTGTGCATGACAAGTAATTTTTCCAACAATTGTTTACAGACAGGTTATTTCACTTATAATTCACTGTATCACAATTCCAGTGGGTCAGAAGTTTACATACACTAAGTTGACTGTGCCTTTAAACAGCTTGGAAAATTCCAGAAAATGATGTGATGGCTTTAGAAGCTTCTGATAGGCTAATTGACATAATTTGTGTCACTTGGAGGTGTACCTGTGGATGTATTTCAAGGCCTACCTTCAAACTCAGTGCCTCTTTGCATGACATCATGGGAAAATCAAAATAAATCAACCAAGACCTCAGAAAAAAGATTGTAGACCTCCACAAGTCTGGTTCATCCTTGGGAGCAATTTCCAAACGCCTGAAGGTACCACGTTCATCTGTACAAACAATAGTACGCAAGTATAAACACCATGGGACCACGCAGCCATCATACCGCTCAGGAAGGAGACGCGTTCTGTCTCCTAGAGATGAACGTACTTTGGTGCGAAAAGTGCAAATCAATCCCAGATCAACAGCAAAGGACCTTGTGAAGATGCTGGAGGAAACAGGTACAAAAGTATCTATATCCACAGTAAAACAAGTCCTATATCGACATAACCTGAAATGCCGCTCAGCAAGGAAGAAGCCACTGCTCCAAAACCACCATAAAAAAGGCAGACTACGGTTTGCAACTGCACATGGGGACAAAGATTGTACTTTTTGGAGAAATGTCCTCTGGTCTGATGAAACAAAAATAGAACTGTTTGGCCATAATGACCATCGTTATGTTTGGAGGAAAAAGGGGGTTGCTTGCAAGCCGAAGAACTTGGTCGCAAATGGGTCTTCCAAATGGACAATGACCCCAAGCATACTTCCAAAGTTGTGGCAAAATGGCTTAAGGACAACAAAGTCAAGGTGTTGGAGTGGCCATCACAAAGCCCTGACCTCAATCCTATAGAAAATGTGTGGGCAGAACTGAAAAAGCGTGTGCAAGCAAGGAGGCCTACAAACCTGACTCAGTTACACCAGCTCTGTCAGGAGGAATGGGCCAAAATTCACCCAACTTATTGTGGGAAGCTTGTGGAAGGCTACCCGAAACGTTTGACCCAATTTAAAGGCAATGCTACCAAATACTAATTGAGTGTATGTAAACTTCTGACCCACTGGGAATGTGATGAAATAAATAAAAGCTGAAATAAATCATTCTCTCTACTATTATTATGACATTTCACATTCTTAAAATAAAGTGGTGATCCTAACTGACCTAAGACAATGAATTTTTACTAGGATGAAATGTCAGGAATTGTGAAAAACTGAGTTTAAATGTATTTGGCTAAGGTGTATGTAAACTTCCGACTTCAACTGTATGTGGGAAACTCCTTCTACTGTTTAGAGAATGCCAAGAGTGTGCAAAGCTGTCAAAGGCAAAGGGTGGCTATTTAAAAAATGTGTTTAACACTTTTTTGGTTACTACACAATTCCATATGTTTTATTTCATAGTTTTGATGTCTTCTATTATTCTACAATGTAGAAAATAGTAAAAATAAAGAAAAACCCTTGAATGAGTAGGTGTTCTAAACCTTTTGACCGGTAGTGTGTATATATAGATGTGTGCGACTCTATTTATTTTTATTGCTAACTTTCTATTAAAATGTATTGTAGTGAGATAATGTCTTTCTTTCGGGATATGAATACCGAGTATATCCAGGTCACTGTCTGACCATTTTATTGGTAAACTACACGGTAATGTAAAAGCATGCAATGGTCAGTGAGTCTGGCCTGCTCTCTCACTTCTGTGTCTGAGACCTCCTCTTTGACCTCGGTGTCTGTGGTCTCCACTTTAACAACCGACTTCTGGTCCTCTTCCGACAGATGTGTTTGAAGTCCTTCCAGAACCGTCCGAGCCTTCACAAAGGGAGGAATGTTTAATCTAAAATAAGAGAGGAAAGAGTAGCTCATTACGTCAGAAGAAGGTCTGTTTCTCACAAGATGAGGAAGAATTCTAGGGAATTTCAAGTAAAGAAAATGTCATAGCTTGAAAATGTGCTTGTACAACTATGGTGTTGATAGTTTTGTTTTGACTCACAATATCTGACAAGACATGGTTCTAATACTAAAACAATATCATACTCTAAAATAAATCAAGGTTAACATAGATGTTGGGGCAGTGATTGATGTCGGTCACCTGAAGAGTATCTCTGCTCTCAGGTAGTTGCCAATGCCGTTAAAGTACTTCTGGTTCAACAGAACCTCACAGATGGGCCGGTCGAACACTCTGTCGGACAGGTGGGACAGGACATTCTCCCTGGAACAGAAACGATGTACAGCAATGTAGAACAGTAGTCATATAAGCACATCCTCTGAAAAGTTACCATCTGAACCCTGATACTCTGGGTTACCATCTGAACCCTGATACTCTGGGTTACCATCTGAACCCTGATACTCTGGGTTACCATCTGAACCCCGATACTCTGGGTCACCATCTGAACCCTGATACTCTGGGTTACCATCTGAACCCCGATACTCTGGGTTACCATCTGAACCCCGATACTCTGGGTTACCATCTGAACCCTGATACTCTGGGTTCACCATCTGAACCCCGATACTCTGGGTTACCATCTGAACCCCGATACTCTGGGTTACCATCTGAACCCCGATACTCTGGGTTACCATCTGAACCCCTGATACTCTGGGTTACCATCTGAACCCTGATACTCTGGGTTACCATCTGGGTCACCATCTGAACCCCGATACTCTGGGTTACCATCTGAACCCTGATACTCTGGGTTACCATCTGAACCCCGATACTCTGAGTTCACCATCTGAACCCTGATACTCTGGGTTACCATCTGAACCCCGATACTCTGGGTTACCATCTGAACCCTGATACTCTGGGTACCACTGAACCCTGATACTTGGGTTACCATCTGAACCCCGATAATATGGGGTTATCCATCTGAACCCCGATACTCGGGTTACCATGAACCTGATACTCTGGTTACCCATCGGGTCGACCATCTGACCCGGTATACTCTGGGTGGGTACCATCTGAACCCCGGATACTCTGGGTTACAACTGAAACCCCGCTACTCTGGGTACCCATCTGAACCCCGATACTCTGGGTTACCATCTGAACCTGATAACTCTGTGTTACCATCTGAACCCTGATACTATGGGGTTAACATCGAACCCCGATTACTCTGGGTTACCATCTGAACCCTGATACTCTGGGGTTACATCTGAACCTGGATACTCTGGGTTTACCATCGGAAACCCATACTCTGGGTTACCATCTAACCCCGATACTCTGGGTCACATCTGAACCTGATACTCTGGTGGTACCATCTGAACAATGATACTCGGGGTTACCATATTGAACCCGATTACTCTGGGTTACCATCTGGAACCACGGTACTCTGGGGTTACCATCTGGGTCACAATCCGAACCCGATACTCCTGGGGTACCATCTGAACCCCGATACTCTGGGTTACCATCTGAACCCCGATACTCGGCGGTTACCATCTGAACCGATACTCTGAGTGTTACCATCTGAACCCCGATACTCTGGAGTCACCAATTGAAACCCGATACTCTGGGTTACCATCGGGGTCACCATCTGAACCCGAACTAATGGGTTACCATATGAACCCCGAACTCTGGGTCACCATTCTGAACCCTGATACTCATGGTTACCATGCTGAACCTGATACTCGGGGTTACCATCTGAACCCCGATAGCTCTGGGTTACCATCTGAACCCGTGAACTACTGGTCACACACATGCCTGAAACCCCAGATAATCTGTGGTTTACCATATGAACCCGATACTCTGGGTTTACCATCGAACCCCGATATCGGGGTTACAATCTAACCCCGGATACTATGTGGGTACCATCTGAACCCGATACTCTGGGTTACCATCTGAACCCGATACTCTGGGTCACCATGTTGAACCCCGATACTCTGGGTATGACCATTGAACCCGATACTCTGGGTTACCATGAAAACCCTGAACTCTGGGATTACATCATGAACCCCGATACTTCTGGCTGGGTACCGATTGACCTGTACTCTGGCGAGTTACCATATGACACCGATACTCTGGGTTACCATCGGAACCCCGATACTCTGCGGTCACCATCTCAACCCCGATACTCTGGGTCACCATATGAACCCCGATACTCTGGTGTCACCATTCGAACCCAATACTCTGGGTACCATCTGAACCTGTGATTATCGGCGTTACCATCGAAACCCTGATACTATGGGACCCATCTGAACCCTGATACCTGGGTCACCATCTGAACCCCGATACTCGGGTCACCACTGAACCACAGATACTCTGGGTTTACCATTCGGGTTACCATATGAACCCCGATAATTCTGGGCGGAATGGAGGTTAGGAAGGTACTAGACCTTGTGGTTAAGAGCTGTGCCAGTAACGAAAGTCTCGTTGGTTCTAATCCCCGAGGCGACTAGGTGAAAACGTCGATTGTGCCCTTGATCAGGCACTGAACCCTAATTGCTCAGGAAGCGCCTCTGGATTAAGAGCGTCTGCTAAATGACTAAAATTGAAATGAAAATGGTAAAAATTATACTCTGGGCATTACCATTCTGAACCCCGATACTTCTGGGACCATCTAACACCGATACTCTGGGTACCATCTGAACCCCGATACTTCTGGGTTACCATCTGAACCCTGATACTCTGCGGTTACCCTCTGGGTTACCATCTTGAACCCCGACCTGGATACTCCTGGGATTACCATCGTGAACCCTGATGTCTGGTTACCATCTGAAACCCCGATACCTGGGTCACCATGCTGAACCCCGATACTCTGGGTTTACCATCTGGGTCACCATCTGAACCCGATACTCTGAGGTTCAATATGACCGTACTCTGGGTCACCATCCGAACCTGATACTCTGGGTTACATCGAACCCTGATATCTGGGTTACCATCTGAACCCCATTTACTCTGGGTTACCATTGAACCCTGATATCTGGGTCACCACTGAACCCCGAACTCTGGGTTACCACATCTGAAGCCTCTGATACTCGGGGTCACCATCTGAAACCCGATACTCTGGCGTTACCACTGAACCCCGATACTCTGGCTTAAAATCGGAACCCTGATACTCTGGGTTACCATCTGAACCCGATACTCTGGGTTACCATGCTGAACCCGATACCTCTGGGTTACCATCTGAACCCGATACTCTGGGTTACATCTGACCCCGATTATCTGGGTCACCATCTTGAACCCCCGAACTCTGGGGGTTACCATCTGAACCCTGATGAATCGGGGTACCATCTGAACCCCGATTCTCTGGTAACCATTAACCCTGATACTTGGGGTCACCATCGAACCCTGATACCTGGGTTCACCATCTGAACCCGTGATACTCTGGGTTCCATCTGAACCCACGATTTACTCTGGGTCACCATCTGAACCCTGATACTCTGGGTCCCATCGGAACCCCGATATCTGGGTACCATCGAACCCTGATATTGTGTGGGTCACCATCTGAACCCGATACTCGGGATTAACTCGGAACCCTGATACTTCTGGGTACCATCTGAACCCCGAATACTCTGGGTTACCATCTGGAACCCTTGTACTCTGGGTTACAATCTGAACCTGATATCGGGGTTACCATCTGGGTCACCATCTGAACCCCGATACTCTGGAGTACCCTCTGGGTCAATGACATCTGAAACCCGATACTCTGGGGTCACAATCTGACCCGATACTCTGGGTTACATCTGAAACCGGATACTCGGGTTACCATTGGGTCACCATCTGAACCCCATACTCTAGGGTTCCCTCTGGGTAACATCTGAACCATGATACTCTGGGTCATCCCTATCTGAACACTGATTACTCTGGGTACATCTGAACCCCGATTACTATGGGTACCATCTGAACCCTGATACTTGGGTTACCATCTGGAACCCCGATACTCCTGGTCTTTGGTACTCATCTGCACCCCGTACTCGTGGGTCACCATATGAACCCCGATACTCTGGGTTACCATCTGAACCCTGATCTCTGGGTTCCCTGGGTCCACCATTGAACCATGGATACTCTGCGTTACCTATGGGGTTACCATCTGAACCCTGATACTCTGGGTTACCATCTGGAACCCCGATACTCTGGGTTACCATAGGTGTTTACCATCTGAACACGATACTCGGTTACCCATTGCTGAAACCCCGATACTATGGGTTCACCATCTGAACCCCGATACTTGGGTACCATCGGAAACCGATACTCTGGGTTAACCCTCTGGGTCACCATCTGATCCATGATACTTGGGTTACCCTCTGGTTACCATCTAACCCTGATTACTCATGGCGCACCATCTGGGTCACCATCTGAACCCTGATACTCTGGGTCACCAATCTGAACCGATACTCTGGTACCATCTGAACCCCGATACTCTGGAGTGTACCATCGAACCCTGTACTCTGGGTCACAATACTGAACCCCGAACTCTGAGTTACCAATCTGACCCTGATACTCTGGGTTACCATCTGGGTCACCATCTGAACCCATGAGAATCTGGGTACCATCTGAACCTCCGATACTCTGGGTTACCATCTGAACCCCGTATACTTGGGTTACCATCTGAACCCCGATACTCTGGGTCACCATCTGAACCCGATTACTCTGGGTCACCATCTGAACACCCGATACTCTGGTTACAACTGAACCCCGGATACTCGGCGTCACCAATCGGGTCACCATCTGAACCCGGATAACTATGGGTCACCATCTGAACCCCGATACTCTGGGTTACCATCTGACCCCGATACTTGGGTTACCATCGAAACACGATGTGTACTTGTGTCACCATATTGACCCCGGATACTCTGGCGTCACTATGTGAACCCCGATTACTCTGGCGTCACCCATGTGAACACCGATTACTCTGAGGTTACAGCATTCTGAACCCTGATACTCTGGTTACCATCGAACCCTGATGACTTGGGTTCCATCTGAACCCCGATACATTCTGGGTTACCATCTTAACCCTGATACTTGGGTTACCATCTGAACCCCGTACTCTGGGTTACCATCTGAACCCAGATACTCTGGGTCCCCCATCTGAACCCCGATACTCTGGGTCACCATCGGAACCCCGATACTTGGTGTTACCATCTGACCCCGAAAACTCTGGGTCACCATCTGGGTCACCATCTGAACCTGATAATGGGTACCATCTGAACCCCGATGTACTCTGGGTATACCATGCGAACCCCGATACTCTGGGTTACATCTGAAACCCGATACTCTGGGTCACCATTCGGAACCCCGATACTCTGGGTTCACCATGTGAACCCCGATACTCTGGGTCACCAGGGAACCCCGATTACCTGGGTTACCATCGTGAAACCATGATACTCTGGTTACCATCTGAACCCTGATACTTCTGGGTTACCATCTGAACCCGGATACTCTGGGTATACCAGTGAACTCCCTGATACTCTGGTTACCATCTGAACCCCGATACTCTGGCGTTACCATCTGAACCCCAGATTTACTCTGGGTCACCATCTGAACCCAGATATCTGGGTGACACCATCGGAAACCCCGATACTTCGGGTTACCCTCGGGGGTCACCATCTGCACCCCATAATCT